CATATAATATAATGATTAAAGGACTCTGCAAAGCAGGAGCACCTAATGAAGCTTATGAGTTATTCAGGACAATGGAAGAGGATGACTGCTCACCAAATGACTGCTCACCAAATGACTGCTCTTATAATACAATGATTCGGGGATTTCTTCAAAACAAGGATACATCAAGGGCAAGACAGCTAATTGATCAAATGGTTGCTAATGGATTTTCTTCTGATATTTCTACATCAGCCATGGTAGTGGATCTATTATTTAGTGGTGGAACTGATCTACTATGTAGTGGAAAAGTTGATAGAAGTGAAAAGATAACTGGAGCAGATGTAAAATGACTTGTTTCTTTCTTCATGGTTGCTGCAGCCAATTATAGGAATTTTCCAAACCATAGGGAGTGATAGTAACTGTAAGTCCCTCTATTTACTTTAATTTGACCTTGCTAGAATGGATATGTTCTCACTTGCATTAACATTCTGGTTTCAGTTTCTCCCCTCCTCCTTTTCTTCTTCCTTCTTTTTTTTTTTTTTAATCAACGAAGAACAATTTCTATCCTCTTTCTATTTCTATTAAGTTATACCATTGTTGCCTAGGTTCATTTCATGTAAGAAAAGTCATATACAATTGAACTCTATTGCTTGCATGAGCAAAAATAGTTTGAACCTTTTGCTTTTTCATATTTTCCTTTTCTATTCTAAAATCCACCCCTATGTCAAAAACATAAGATACTTTCAAATTTTTTAGACCTATTTTTAGGAAAATTTTCTATAGGTCTATGAGAGATTGAAATGATGCCAGTATCAGTTTCCTGCTGGTAAGGCTGAGTCTTGCAACAGTGTTCCATTTGAAGTCGTGAACATGTACCATGTCAGCTGCAACAAATGGAATGGAAGAATGAAAATCCTAGGGATAGAAAAAAGTTGTGAACATAGGAAGCCTGAGGCATTATGTTCTATTTGCATACTCAACAGCAATCTAACTGGTAAGCTTCCCTCCTTTCTTTTTCCTGTTTCTTGCATGATTCCAGTCATGCATTCTTTCTAGATTTTAAGGTCTCTGTCTGTTGTACTCTGTCAGTTTCTGTTCACCTCAATAGTTAAGCAGTTCAAAAAATGAAAATGTGGTTTGTTGTTATTTGGTGTTCTTAGCTTTTAGAGCTTCAGAACTCTTGTGCTTGATTAGATTCTTT